ACTACTTCCATAGTGATACTGCCTCGGAAACCCAAGGAGGGGTCGCTATGAGTTGGGTCTGACTCGACAGCACATAACAACAACAGACACATACCAGAAAATACAAAATTTACTATAATGACTTTCAACTTGGTAGTAGAGAAAGAAGAGAGGATAAAGGGAGAGCAGCAGACAGGCAGAAGGAGGAAATAATTTTAAAACTTTTTTTCAAAATACAATTTTCAAAAATGCATTAAATAAATAAAGACGGTGAAATATTGGCATCTGTTGAATCTAAGTGGTGGTGTACATACAGTCACTGTATTTTTCTTCCTCCATTTCTAAAAATAATGAAATTCATTAAAAATATAATTTCCAGGGTATATCATAAGGTTAAGTACACACTTATCCCAGTCTCCTACATCTATACTGCAGTATTCACTAACGTCCTGGAGATGGTATAATCAAAGAGGAAGGAACCTCCAGCTCTGGAGGTAGATTGTCTGAGTTTAAATTCCAACTCTTCCAGGTACTGGCTGTGTGATCTTGAGCAAATAAATAATGTTTCTGTGTTGACTCTCAATTTCTTTACCCGTATAATGAAGATAATAATGGTCTTCTGGCTCAAAGGCATTCCAATGAGAAACTACATGTAAAGTGCCTTTAACATGGTACAGGCTGGATTACTACCTCATTATGGTGACCAGAGGCTCTGTGTTATCCTGAGGGTACACCAGGCAGGGGGAAATGACATTACACAGAAGTCTGGGGATATTTAGATTGCACTGTATTACATGTCAGTAATCCATCCTATGATAGGCTCTGCATGATCCTGATGGTACCTTGAGACAGGAAAAAAAAAAATAGCAATAATCTTAACCCAACATCTTTGTAGGGGTTTTACTATGCACCAGGCACTGTGCTAAGCACTTTATATGCAGTTTTTCATTTGAAATCTTATGAGGCAGGGAACTATTATTTCCATTTTACAGATGAAGAAATTTGAGGGTCAGAGCATTTATGTAATTTGTTTCAGGTTATGAAACCCATAACCAGCAGAGTTGAGCTTTATACACCCAGGTAATCTGCCTCCAATGAGCCTTGGTGGCACAGTGGTTAAAGTGCTTAGTTGCTAACCAAAAGGTTGGCTGTTCGAATCCACCGGCCACTACCCAGGATAAATATGTGGCAGTCTGCTTCCATAAAAATTTACAGCCTTGGAAATCTTATGGGGCAGTTCTTTTCGGTGCTATAGGATTGCTATGAGTCGGAATCGGCCTGATGGCAGGTTTGGTTTGGAATCTGCCTCCAAAGTCGGTTCTGACAGAAACTACCCACCTAAACTTGGGCAAGTCACTGCATATATCAGGCTTTTTATTCCTCCATTGTAAAATAAGAAGAGTGGTCTGGAACAGGTGCTCTAAAAGGACCCTTCTAAACATGTCTCTGGACAACCATGCTATTTAAGCCCGAATTCACTGCATATAGAAAACATCTCTACTCTAGTCCTTTCCCCTGCCTAGGCTTTTCTATCTTATACCAATACAGCATGATGCATGTGGAAAATTCTCCTGGTGGAGTACCTCACTGTTCTTGACAAAAAATTAATTCTTCCCGACATCAGGTAGTTAAGGGAAGTTAAGGAGAGGTAGTGACAAAATTAGCCAGAACTCTCAGCCCTGAGTTAAAGCGCTCTATCTCTTGGGACCTCAGTTTCCCTATTTATAGAAATGAAGTAGCTTTTAAAATATAAGTAATCCCTATGGAAACAGTCATCTCAGCCCAGGGATCAACCTTACTAGAATTGGGAAGGGATATAGTAAGGAAGTATATGTAGTCTGAAAAAACACATTCAAATACAGTTATTGCTTTTTCAATATATACCACCGAAGCAAGAGTTCTGAAAAATCTATCATGCTGGTAAAAACTGGCAAAAGAGAGTAAAGAAGTACTGTAGGGGTTGTGGGTTTTTTTAAATGTTAAGGAAAAATACAGTAGGTTCTTGCTGAAAGTCCCTGTTAGTTCAAAGTATGTGAAATAAAAAATAAAGTTCATATGGTATGGAACAAACTCTTCAATTTAAAGAAAAAAATTGTATCTGCCAAAATAAATGAATTCAATAAAAAGAAATACATTAGTACTACTTAAGATATTTTCTTTTTTAGAAAAATGATTTAAATAAATGCACAAACATGCAAAATTTTGCACATAAGACTCAAGGTTTTTTGTTTTTGTTTTTAAATATCCTTGGTATAGTTGTCAACACAAACCATGTCTGATAATATTGTAAACCCCAATATAACAGTTACTCCTTCTCTGGTTCTAATATTGCTTCAAAACACTGGAGCTCTATTTTAAGAAAAACAAAGAAATGAGACATAAATTACATGCAATTCTTCCTGAGGCCAAATATATAATGCTCAGTTTTCAATCATATCTTTCCTCCTACAAATCTTTTCGTCATTTTTACCTACCCACAACCAGGGAGGAAAAGACAGCAGATGATACTCAATCCAGACCACTCATTAGCATCCCTGGTAAATAGTTTGCTGAGAAACAATTGACAATACCTACACCAGCCACTCCTCGGAAGGAAGGTTGGGCATTCCTACTTCCGTAGTGATACTGCCTCGGAAACCCAAGGAGGGGTCCTATGAGTCGGGGCCGACTCGATGGCAAATAACAACAACAACAACAACACTACTATTTGGGAGCTCTGGTAGCATAGTGCCTAAGGCACTTGACTGCTAACCAGAAGGTTGGCGGTTCAAACCCACCAGCCACTCCTCGGAAGGAAGATGGGGCAATCTACTTCCATAGTGATACTGCCTCGGAAACCCAAGGAGGGGTCGCTATGAGTCGGGTCCAACAACAACAACACTACTATTTAAGGAGCTCTGGTGGTACAGTGCCTAAGGCATTTGACTGCTAACCAGAACACTGGTGGTTCAAACCCACAAGCTGCTCTGTAGACAGCAATCTATTTCCATAAAGATTTACTGCCTTGGAAACCCAACATCAGAACTGACTTGATGTCAGTGGGTTTTTTGGGTGTAGTACTATTGGGGGAAATTTTATAGATTTACCCCCTCCCCAGTATCCATTTCAGGAGATAATTAATCACAAGCCAGTATTCAACTCCTAGAAAAAAGACAACTAGATCAGTCTACACCATCAGCTCTCAATCCTCAAACCTCTCAACCAGATTTTAGGTTATTCTTTAAGACTAGACTTGAGTAGGGAGCATCAGAATAAAAAAAGGACTGTTAGAAAGAGAGAGGCTCTCCTACAAAATATAGACTCACTGCCCTACATCTTCCAAAATTAAGCACATAGAGAAATTCCGGAAAACAGATTCTTTCTTTCCTCTACCAAACTAACCCCACTTTGCAGTGTCTCTTACTTTTACTAAAATATGCAACCTTTAGAATAAAGTTAAGAAATACACCTTAATACTGAAATCCTCCATGCCTAAAGAATCCTTGTGAAATTTCAAGATGTTATAGATTCTCTCTGATTAAAAACTCACTTATACACAATTTAGGGATTTTGTGGATCCCTATGAACCAGCAAGGTTAAAAACCCTTATTGTGGCCTACAGAATCACATGCTTCTCAAAAAGCCCATATCCTCCTTCATGGATAGGAGTCACCCCTAAAGTCTGAAATGTAAAGATCAACAAAATGAAGGCTCTAGCTGCACTTGTCGATTTAAACTATCTTTGTCAAATTGTCAACTCAGACATCTTTCAACACTGCCCAAAGGATTTCTTTCAATTCTTTGACCATCCAAATCAGGTCTTGTCTAAGTCCTCCCTCTCCTTTCCTTCCCCTTTTGTTTTTAAAGGAGCCTAGAAGCTGAAAGCCAAGTCCATTTATAAGTGAAAGATGTGTCTGCCTGAGAGCAAAAGCCCCCAGTGAACACTCACCCTCACCACCCCCTTCAGACCCAAGGTGTCCATGACACTGCCAACTGCTGTGGCCATGGGCTGGATCAGAAAGCAAGAACAGAAATAAGGACACTCTCCATTCAATCTTTTTGTCTGGGGCACTTCCTGGGTTTCTCATTGGCATTTAACACCAAGACACAAGGCTCATTTTTCATTAAACTTGCAAGACTTTCACTTTGCCCCGTTTCAAATGGTGTAATTGATCTGCATTGTCTTCTTAAATAACCCAACTGGTGAAGGACACTGCAGCTTTAAATATTTCAGTGCTAGCTAGCAAATAGACTCCATCGCAATATGGCTCTGAAGGTCGTGTCCTATTGTCTCTTTCCTCTGAAAAAAAAAAACAAACAAACAACTTCTAAGTCCTTCTGTGTAACATAGGAAGGGTTACCTCCCTAGAATTTCCATTCTTCCACTCGGGTCCCTTACAGAGTTCCGGTGTTTACTGGAATCTCACCCTCATAATTTTCCCGGCAGGGACAATATGCTGATTGCTATTAATGATTTCAGCACCTTAGTGAGACATAATCTCATGTGTTCACATTAGTTTAATTTAGCATATGCAACTGTCTGAAATAGCACCACTCAAGGGCTGTTAACCTCTTTAATAATAAAGGCAGGGTGATTTGGGTGTGAACAGTTTTCAGGCGGCACCCTGAGCCCGGGACTGTATAACCTGAAATGTGTAGCTACTTAAAACCATTGGAATCTCAGCCTACTCATCCTCAGAATATGTGGGCACCCTGCCACACACTTGCAGCTTTACTTGTCAAAGGAGGTCAAAATAAGAGGCCCAAGCACGGTGAAGGAGAAAATAAACCAAAAGAAAAGGCCCTTTCTACCCCGTCAGGAACCATGAACACGTTTCTTCCAGCAGTCACAATGTTTTTCACCCCCTGCCCCCTGGGAGTGAACAGCCTCAAACTGGAGGCTTTGGAAGGGGGCGGAGGACCTGGATGGACATCGCTACCTTTTCTAAAAGAACAAAAACCAGTGAAAGATTAAAAGGCAGGGAAAGCGGGCAAAGACAGTGGGGTAGAAGGAAGGTGGGGTAGGTGCACGCAAGCATTACCTGAAATGGCAACAGATTGTTACCATTATCGGTCCGGAAAGCGTTATCCTCCACCCAGGGCTTGGAGGTGAGCGGGGCCGCGCGGGGGAACTTGGGAGGCGCGATCACATTGCTGGAGAAAGGTTTTTTGAGCGGCGAGATGGGGTTGAGCGGCGAAGGCACCCCAACGCCCACGCCCACGCCCACACCGACCGCCCGGCGAGGGTCCCGGCCTGCCTGCAGGCCGCCCCACGGGTTGGACGGCGCGCTCCAGGCAGCGTTCACGCTCTGGTGCGTGTTCCAGCTGGATGAAGCAGACGAGGCGGCGGCGGCCGCCGCAGCAGCCGCGGCGGCAGAGGACGAGGACGGCTTGCTGGTCATGATGGGCTGGTGGCCGTACGCCGCGGCTGCGCTCCTCGGAGCGTAGGGCGCCTGGCTGGGGCTGGCGGGCGACCGGCGCTGCTGCGGGGGCTGTGGCTGCGGAGGCTGCGCGGGCTGCGCGGGCTGCGGCGCGGGAGGCGGTGGCGGCTGCTGGTGGTGCTGGGTCTGCGCCAGGCCGATCTGCGGGGAGAAGGTGCCTCCGAAGACTGGGTTGACGTGGTGCGGGAAGTTCTGGAAGAGCATGGTCCCGTTGACTGGGGTGATCCCCTGGAAGAAACTGTCCTCTACTGCATTCGTGGTGCCCGTGGACCAGGTGCTGCCGAAGGACGGCGACAGCGACGTGCCAGGAGCCGCGGGCTCCTGCGGTGGCGGCGGTTGCTGAGGCGGCTGGTGGAAACTCAAGCCCGGCAGGAGCGGCGATTCCATCTGCATCTTGTCCGGGCCGTTGGGGGCCGGCGGGGCCGCAGCGGAGCTGAGCGCCGGCACTGCGCTGCTGTCCTCTGGCTTGGGGGTCTCTGAGGAGAGGGGCGTGGACGGGGCTTCGGCTGTGCTGGGCTCGGGCTGGGGCTGCTGCTGCTGCCGCTGCTGCTGGGGCTGGGGCTGGGTTTTGCTTTTGTCCATCAGTAAATCATCCTGCATGGTTTGCGCAGCTGAAACGGGAAAAGAGAGAGACGCGTTATTGTCAATGTGATCGTTAATTCCCCTCGCTAAAGCAGGCGGGTGTTTTACTTGCGAAAATCCAATGCCACCGCTACCAGCCAATTGCAAAGCAAATCCATAATCTCCCATTTAGAAGAACAATTCGGACTGGGGGGTGGGGTGGGTCGCACTAGGTCTCTGAAAATACTGTGATAGCGTCTTCACCCTTTCTGATGTCTTGGTTCCTTTTCTGTATTAGTGAGATATGTGCTTATAAGACCGAAAGACAGCAATTTCGCCACGTCTCTTTTCCCTTCACCGGAACTCAGTGTGTTCACCCTGCAATGAGAAACTGATTCTGGTTCCTGTTTTTTCCCAAGCACCACCCTCCCCCGGTTATTTGCATACGTCAATAAATACTGCTGCGTCCTTCATCAAGGTTAAAAAGACGCCTTGCTTAGGACCCTTTCTTCCCTTCCCAGCTAGAGCGCTTTAAAGAAACAGCAATCTCATCCTTCTTGATGAGCGAACTGTCTTCTTGCTTTGATAATTGTTGCAGTTAGCTGCGGCGAACCGCGAGGGGGAAAATCCTTGGCATTTGTTAGGAGGACTCAGCTGTACAAGCACTCTCTGGTCTCCCAGTAGCTGCAGCTACTCCATTTTGTTAGGAGACATTAACACACACACACACACACCACCGTTTGAAAATTGGCAAAAACTTGCTGGAACGTCTGTAAGTGCTTGCTTCAGGTTACTCTAAGGTTTATAGTTTTTCTGCTTATTCTCCAATTTTCTTGTCTCCAATTGTGCCGCACAAGAGATTTGCTGGCATCTAATGCTTCGGGTCTCAACAGGAGCCTGAGGATTACTCCGCAGAGTGGAGAAATGCTTCTGGTTGGATTTGAGGTCAGAGAGAGAGAGGGAGAGAGAGAGAGAATGTGTGCGTGGTGTATGAGATTGTAGAATGGGGGTGTTGCTTAAAAAATCCCTCTGAGATTAAGAACACAGTCAAGATAACTCTGGGGTTGCCAAATATTCATTTTTTAATCCTTCTGCTGCCTTGGTCACAAGACCGACAAATTTAGAATCAATTCTCTTATCACTAGTATTTGCAGTGAAAGATCAAGATTTGAAGACCCTGAATTACCATATGCTAGCAAAAGTGTTAAAAATAGCATAGTACAAAGCCCTGAATTCTCATACATTGTAATTACAGTGCATTGCCAACACTGCTTTATTTAGCCATATAAGGAGTGTATGGTATTTTCCATTTCGTATAGAAGGGCTATATTCACCTCTGTCATATAGTCCGTGTTGTTTTTAAAGGATGAAAATAATCATCACTGACCAGTAGATTTCGTATGAGTAGTTAACACTGTGTTAGTGTGTCCCTTCGAACATGTTCATTGTTTTAAATACATGAATATTACAGTGCTGAGACTTGGAAAACAAATATTTTTGAAATGTTAAAGGATCATATGATCAAACATATAATTATTTTTAGATCTGGTTCAGTATAATTGCAACAAAGTTAACATACTTAATGTAGTTGCTTAACAGATACTGGGAGAAGTATCTTTTTCAGAAACCTTGTGAAAGGACATTCAGATACACAGAAACGCTGCCTTTGGCCATTCTCCTGATAATAGCTGTTGTAAAAAAAATGTATTAAAAGTGGAGATGGTACTGCTCTAAATTATTAAGGAAATTTTGTCAGACCAAGAAATAGTATTAAAAATAGTCCTACCATTTTATTAAAGACTGCCTTTAAAATGGTTAACTGATATCTTGCATTTTAAAGTTTCATACACAGATGAAACAGTGGGCTTAAGGAAATATGTCACAGCTACTTCACCTCTCCTTTCCACTTCCCACTCCCCTGCCTTCCCTCTTGCTCAAGAAAGAAAAAAAAAATCCAATATAAAATATACCACAAATTGCCAGTTACTAGCAATAAAATCTACTTAGGTTGCTTTTATGTTCCTCAGTTTCGTGGTCTAAAACAATGGCTTTGATCAGTATTGTAAAATATGACACAAAGAGGGAAGCAGAGCTTGGACTCACACAGCACAAAGTTCTATTGCTGCCAAAGGTGATGGTCATAGAAAGATGTTTTTGTGCTTGGTTTAACCAGTGCTGCAGTAAACCATTATAATCTGGCATTTGAGTTGCTTTTAGTGGGCTAGATTTGTCTTTTACAACAGCCATATCATGATGGCTGAAATATGCATTTGATTATAATTTTAATATCACCCAGCTTTTCCAGTTCCTTCTATCAGTGCTTTTTTTGTTAATGCCTTCAGTTTACATGCTTTTGGTGGAAAAATTAATGCCATAATACAGCAAAAAAAGCCTAAGAGTAAGATGGACTCTGAATTATTTTATAAGAGCTATAATTAATATTACTACACTTTTACATTTAAGACTATTTATCATTCCAGCAACACCCATTTCTCTTCTCTATACTCCTTAAAGACACAAATTTCACTTTCTGAATAAATTCACTCTGTCAAGGTCAAGACCCACCTTTAACAAATAAGGCCTTTTTAAATAACAGGTAAGCAGTGGATAAGATAACATTTACAAAGTAAATACACAGTTTTTCTCAGTTGTTGCCTGTGTAGCTTTTTTTCTCTTTTTTCTTATTTACAGCAAGGTCCGAGAAATAGATACCTCCTTCCCCTCCCCCCACCACACACAATGGATCTTCTTTTACATGCAATAACCCAATTTCAAGTAACAAATTCTTAGCAGCAGTTACCTTTGAGTGTCCAGTTTTTAAGGATCGATAAAATTAAAAAGTGTACAGTATTTATCTTCTTGTTTCAGGTTGATTATGTGACCGCTCTGGCAAAAGCACTTTGACAACTGTAAGAAGAGAGGGCATGCGCACACAGGGAACTGTGGGGGCTGAAGTCCTTCACTAGGTACTCTGCCTGACTTCAGCATGTTCAGCCAAGGGAGGAAGCCTCACAAATACAGATTCTAAGGGGGAGAGGTTGTGCCTGGGTTCCATTATACCCTCCCAACCAATGTAAATCACGAGTTATTGAGATGGAAAGGGAGAAAAACAAACTGGTTTGTCACGTTAATTTAGAAAGCATCCTTAAAAGAGAAACTGGATTGTAGGGCTCAGAATAAATATGTCCAGGAGAGCTACCTTAAATGGTATTACAATGGTAACAACTGGGTAGCCAGCAATAGGAACCTTACTAGAGCTACAGAGACTGGGATGGGGAGAAAGAAGCAAGGGAAGGAGGACCACTGAGGAAAAATAATTACCTATAAATCTGACCATACTTAAAAGAAGCATTTTCAATATAGAATGAAAAAAATACACTAATATTAAATGTGATATTAATCTCGCAAGTCAGTTAAAATTGTCAGGTTTTTTTTTTTTTTTACATCTTATCTGCCAAGATTTCTTTGTATCTGAATTTTCAGTGAAGGCACAAAACATTTATTTTAAGAATCTACCTGACATGCTGTGAGTCACCTCACATCTTCATTTTTTTTAATTGTCAAAATGAATTATCCATACAATGATCAATCAAATACACCTCTTTCTGAAAGTCTAAAATACTGTTTGGCGGGATATTAAATAACACTTTGAAATGTTTAGTGTTTCACTGTGTAGGACAGTGACCTCTTTATTCAATATAAAAAGTAGATACAGTTTCCATTGAAAATATTTTTTGGTGTATGTTTTTTCTAGCTTAACCTCATGACTTCACAAAGCTAGAACCTCATATCATATTAGCATCAACTGTTATTATCCATAGCTTCTGAGAACAATAGTTCAACTCTGGGTTTGCTCAGGCAGGCAGAAAATATTATTTCTTGTGGGATTTAGTTCAATGCCATTCACCCAAGGGGTTCAGAGTAAATGTCAGCTGATGGCTATGCTGACTGAACATGGAACTAAAAATCTTTTATCATTTAAAACTGTCTTAATTTTCTAATGCCCTTCTTCGCCAATTAGGCACTAATTTGCAGCATTTAGTAGTCTTTGGTTTTTAGTTATTTCTAGAGGAAAAAAAAATTGAATGATTCTGCCAAAAGCTCTGTGTAAAAGAACAAATGCTTACTTATTCCTACTGTGACCTTAACTTGTATTTCTCATTTTTTCTCTCTTCTCTACCTTCCTTAAGAAACCTTCATTTCTGCTAGGGTGCTATACTCACCATATGCATCCCAAAGTCTGCAAGGATCAACTCAAGGTTAATCTTATCCTTGAAGACTTTCTCAACTTACCAAACTTACACTATATTTAAGGTACTCCAAACTAATTTTTTTAAAAAAGTTCTTTGTAAAATCCTTAAAAAGATTGCATTAAAAAAAGATTTTAAGAATTACTTGAAGTTAGTGTGTAAAGATTAATATGTTATGGTTTCATTGAATTGCACATGTGAAAAATACTGTATTATTTGTATTTTTACAACAGTTAAAAATAAAGAAAAAATATTATTATGTTAAGATTTGTATGTACATTAGTATGTTAAGGAGTCCCTGGATGGTGCAAATAGTTATCAAACTTGGCTCCTAACTGAAAGGTTAGAGGTTCAAGTCCACCCAGTTATGTTTGGGTTGCAAGTCCTGGTGATCTTCTGAAAAATCAGCTATTGGAAACGCTGTGGAGCACGGTTCTACTCTGACACACAGTGGGATGCCAGAAGTTAACACTCACTCCACAGCAATTGGTCATGTCAAGATTTTATCGGTGAAATAGTAATTTTTAAGTCATTCAGGTGGGCTTGAAAATGGTTAGATTGGACATTCATAAATGAATCCATCTGCAAGTGCAGTTCTACTAATAATGTGCATAATGAAGAAAGATAAACTTTGGTCCTGACCCTTGGTAAATGATAATAATTAAGACTACCTATGCTTAATGTAATTTCATTATATTTGAAAATGAAGTAATCTCTGCTCTTTTCTAAATGAGCAAGCAAAACTAAAAAGAAAATAACTCAAATAAAATACCAAATTAAAGATAAAGCAAACAAATTACAGAAAGAGCTCCCAGAAGAACAAAGTTCTTCTCTACTGAAATCCTGTTTTTTATTCAACAAGAAAGGGTATATTTTCTGAAATTATGTCTTTAAGTCACAGAGCTTAACTATATACCACTTTGCGTAGTCACTGAAGACTGCAAATTAATTTGCAGAGTTAACTCTTGGGGATATGTGTGAGTCAAATACATCTTTCTGGGCCTCTTCCTTCCTTTTCTTCCTTACTTATACCTCTAGCGTGGTACTTATAAGAGTCCTGTGAAGTGGGTGGCTGATTGAGAAATGCTTGCTGAATAAATGGATAAAGGAATGAATAAAGGAAGGATGAATTAAGTGTACTTTTTAATTTTCTATATCTAACCTTTAAGTATGCATTATTCTCCATTTGGAAGAGCAATTTTCTATCAGCTGCAGGAATGGATATGAAAGGGAACAGCAAAAAATAGAAAAATATTATGGCTCTTCTGATGCTCAGCAGCATGCAGATCATTTGATTATCATCATGAAATAATATTTATTAAGCACTAATTGGCAGGGAACTTTGTTCCCATCCAAGAGTTTACAATCTAATAAAGGCACACATCTCACCTCTACCCAGAAACTGCATCTCCAAGGTCACAACAGCCACTCTGAGCTAAGTCCAAAGGATGCTTTGTCAGTCTTTCTCTTGCTTGACCTTGCAGCAACACTCACATAATTGACCATACTTTCTGGAAAGATCTTCTTCCCTTAACTTCCTTCATGCTGCCCTTTCCTGATTTTCTTACATTTGGGGGATGCTTTGTCATCTTTGCTAACAGACTTTAAATAGTGAGTTCCTCAGGGTTCAATATTGGGCCCTCTTCTCACCTCACTCTATGTGAGCAGCTTTATTTCCCATCTATAAGCAAAGGACCAAGTTTGTCTTATTGGCTGCTGTATTCCTAGTACCTAACACTGTACCTGGCACATAATACATAGCCATGCAATAAATATTTTTTTAATTAAAATTACATTTATACGCAAAGTGCCAAGAATGGCCAAGGCAATCTTGGAGGAAAAAAAGAAAACAAAACCAAAACTAGAGGACTTAAACTAGCATATATCAACATCTATTATAAAGCTATAGTAATTAGACTGTGTGTTTATTGGCACAAGGATAAGCAAACAGGAAGTGGAACAGAATAGCAAGGCCAGAGACAGACCCATGAATGTGTATCACATGTTTTTTAAAAAAGTAACATTGCAGTGGGTGAAAGGATGGCATTTCAATAAAAAGAATTTGAGTCAACTTAATATCCGCATGGCAAAAATAGAGACCTTCACCCTAACCTCATGTGCCATGCACAAAAATCAACTGCAGATGTATTATAGTCTAAATGTAAAAGGTGAAACAATAAATCTAAAAAGAAAACGCAGGAGAATATCTTCATAACCATGAAGTCAGCAACAAGTTTTTAAGCAGGTCACAAAAGCAATAACCATAAAGGAAAAGTTTAATAAACTAAACTAATTAAATTAAGAACATCTGTTTATGAAAAGACAGAATTAAGTGCTAGAAAGTCACAGATGGGAGAAAATGGATGATATAGATACAGATTTTTTAAAAACAAAATACTTGTAACTAGAATATATAAAGGACACCTGGAGAGCAAAAAGTAGACATCCCAAAGAAACTTGGGCAAGAGATTTCAACAAAAGATATTCAAATAGACAAAAAAGATCACAATTACATTAATAATAATCAAGGAAATACAAAACAAAACCAGAATGGCCAAAATTGGAAAAGTCAGAAAATACCAAGCATGGACACAGACACGGACAGCAGGAACATAACTTGATATAACTATAAAACAATTACATTGAAAAACCATTTAAAAGTGTCTATTCAAGCTAAATATTCACATACCTCGTGACCTAGCACTTGCATATCTAGCTACATGTTGTTGTTAGGTGCGGTCGAGTCGTTTCCGACTCATAGCAACCCCATGCACAGCAG